TCTACTGGGCTGCCTTTGTCTTGTCACTTTCTAAGAGCTCTGTACATAGTATGTCCTCTGCATTACAAATATTCCCCCCAATCTATCATTGATTGATCTTCCTTATATTTAAGTTTCTTTGCCATATGTAAAGTTTAAGTATTTTTAATATCATAATGTCTTTATATCAGATATATTTTTATAGCTTCTGGGTTTCTGATTTTAGTTAAAAGCTTTGTGTTGCACGAATGGCATAGATTTTCTTGCAAGACTTCTGTTAAGTTTTACACTTAAATCCTTAATTTACCTGGAATTTATTTTTATGAATAATGTAGGTTGGAAGTCGGCTTTTATTTTTCTTAAGCTGGAAAGACAGTTGCGCTTGTACCATATGTTCAGTAACCCACCCTTTATCAATGAAATGAATCTACTCAATGTATTTATCATACTTATTAAATTCCTGTTTTTCTATTTCTACAGTCCTCCGCTCTACCAGCTGAGCTATCGAAGGGAGCACCTGTTTTTCTATTTCTAGATTATTTATTCTCTCCTACTGATCCGGTCAATCTACCTGTCTTTTTCTATTCCTCTGCCACTCCGTTGAGAGCAAAGTGACTTGGGTAAGTCTTCATATCCAGTAACCCCGATAACCTACATTACCCTTGTTAATACTTTTCTTGCTATTTTGAGGGCATTTGTGAAACTTGAGAATTAAAAAAATTAAACAAAACTGGTGAGGATTTTTACTGGAATTTCTGTGGGGCAGCAGGGATGGGACTCTCTTGTCCTTAAACAAGGTAACAAGACACTGACAAGTGCTGATGCCTCACACACAAGATGTGATCCTGGGACCCAATTCTCCTGTCTCCTGACTCAGGTAAGGACGGACACCTTCCAACTTCTCCTCTTGGCCCATAAGATGAAGCTGGAACGGGCAGGGGACAGGAAACTGGAGGGGAGACCCGAGAAGGCCATGCCCTGGGGCCTAGAGCTTTACCCAAGGCCTCGAGGAAGCAGCTCCCAGGACACTCTCAGGCCCACGCTTTACCTCTACCACCTCTCAGCCTGGCTCATTATCTCCAGGGCTTAAAGGCCAAGGAATCCCCCTGATTCAGAGAATGGCTTGACTGCTACCACCAGGTCTTAGGATTTGCCCTCAACAAACTCTCTCAGTTCTTTCCTCTTCTCTCACTTATTGATAGCCAGAAGGTGGGAGTATCACAGATGATCTATTTCTACACCTTTACTTTTGTCATTCTACAAAATTCTCTCCATGAGGCAAAACTTTAAACTCTTGAGGGTAAAGGCCAGGCTTCCTGATACCCTCCCGGACCCCTAACTCGAGGGGTACAGAACTGGGTAACCCACAGCCTTGTTGAGGGGGAGGGGTGGTGGGTGTGACTGGTGACTCCCCGCCCCCCCCCCCCCCAAACACAGCTCTCCTGGACTCTGTAAATGAAAGAACACCAAACAACTCTGTTCAAAACAGTTTATTTTATTTTATTTTTTTTTGTCAGACAAACACATTGATTTCTGGACCACAGTAGAGGATGGAAACCTTTCACAAACTTATTTATTTGAAAATACAAATATAAAATTATACTTTCCACATCTGTGATGTGAGAGACTGCCATCCACATAGTAATTTTTTACAACAGGGCTTTAAGAAAAGCCACACACAAAGACCTGAAAGATGCTTGAGATATATATATATATAGATACATATATATGTATATATATAAAAAAAATACTCACTACCAAAGTTGTCATCAGTTTCATACTAAAGTATAAAAGTAAGGGTGAGGTCAGCCACAGTGCTAGGGAAAGTTTTATTTAGATACATTTATGTCCACATGAAACGCTTAGACTTGCATCCTATTACATATGGAATTCCGAGTTTACAACACACCGTGAACGGCAGATTGGCTAGCCCACGCTACTCAAGAGGACACTCACAGATTCCACACGGATGGTTCAGTATGTACAGGTACAGTAGCGCCTTCTAGGGGGGCTCTGGGACTTGTCTCCCAGTCCCCCTCCCCGCCCCCTCCTGCCCGCCTCCCGGGAATGAAATCCTGTCTGAGACAATACATTCTGATTATTTTTGATAGCCGAGCGAGCGGTTGGATTAAGGTTGCTTCCCCAGAGGGGTGGGTTTATGTAGATTTCTTTGTGTCTTAGTTTACTTACTTTTTTTTTGTTGTTAAAAAAAAAAAAGAAAGGAAAGGAAAAGAAAAGAAAACAAACATATTACAGTATTAAAGTATTGCTTAACGTAAGGTGGTGTTTCCTTGTGTAGTGTCTGTGCCCAGGTCTGGGCTGAGCTGACTTCTGCTGCTTTTCTGCTTAGGGTGAGGGTGGGGGAGCCCGCCAGTGTCTCTCTTCAATGTGCTGGCCTGCGTCTGTCCCTCTGGCCCCCCCTTGCTTTTTTGTCTTCCTTGGGAGGCAGCCTGGCTGGTGAAGCACATTCAGAAAAAAATTCTCCCCTCCCCACCCATCCCCAGGCTCCCTCTGTCCCTGCATGCCACTCCCAACCAATAAAGAGAAGTATGAGTTAGTGTTTCTTTTGTAAACAATTTCATATGCAATATAATACAGAAAGCATGGCTGACCTTCAATAAAACATGTAGTAAACTATATTGCTTTATTTTTGATGACGCTGCAGTGAGTGAATGGCAGAATGAAGCAGTGTGGTGGTGGCTAAGTCCCTAGCCCTCGTTTGCACTAAAGATCAAAAACAGGTTTTGTTTTTCTATTTGGAACCCAAACAAATCTTTTTTTTTCTTCCAAAATCCCCAAATGAAAAACAACCAAAAAAAGAAGAAGAAAAAAGGACCCCCTCCCCCCCAAAACAAAAATAAAACTGAAAACAAAAACTAAACACCTTTCAGGTCATTAGAACCAACAATTACCCAATGATTTTTATACTAGTCTAGCAAGATGTGTGTAACATTCACTGGCTGTGAATTGCTGTGCTGTGAAACATCAAATTGACAGCAAAAGAGCCATGCTACCTTAAAGTCCAAGCTAAGAGTTCAAATTAAGATGAAGGTTATGAAGGATAGAAACGCAAAGGCCTGTCGGGGCTTCGTTTGAATCAAGCCAGTGAGCGCCCGGGATGGAGTGAGAGGCGGTTCGGTTTTCCCGGGGGTGTGAGGAAGGCCACAGACCAGGTGTGCGACAGCCCCGGCGGGGGGGACCCCGCGCTGGGTCATCCCCGGTGGAACCAGGAATGGGTCCGGGAGCTACTGCCCCTCACTCTCCTCTGCTTGGAAGGAGAGGAGCCTGGGGGTCCCAGGCAGATGGATCTGGAAGCCAGAAAGTCACCCGGTGGCGGTTTTATGATTCCGGGGAAAAGCCATCGGCCAAGAGGGTTTGGGTTTCTCCCCCAGGGAAGGCGAAAGGTGGTTCCCATGTTCGCCACAGGGCTTGATTGAAACGAAGACGAGGCTGAACGTCAGTGCGAACGAAATTTACAAAAACCTTTCAAAATGGACTTCTAGATGAGTGGGGGGGACTAACGTGAACCCTAACCTAGGTAGCCACATTAAAACATATCGGATTTCCACGAGATTTGTGCTATGGGCTACTGGGTCTCTTCAAAAGGTATTATAAACATCTAAAACATATTCACACAGATTATCAATTTCTTCTGAGCATTCTTAAAAAAATATTTTTTTTTCTCTTAGTAAAATCATTTTAATATACCATGCCTCCCTCTTTTAAAAAATAAATTAAAAAAATCCAGTTTTGCATATCTAGCATTAGCATTTAAGGTAGTATGGCACACCCCTTCACAGTTGCGGGGTGGGGTGGGTGGGAATCTACAAAACGCCGTGGAGTCTGCCGGCATTTGAACATCGTGAGACCTTGGGTTAGTTGAAACCACATCAGATCAGCAAGAAATAAAATGAAAAGTTGAAATCGAAAAAAAAAAATTAAAAGGAATAAACTGCCCCCAAATTATTAACTTTTTTTTTTCCATAAATAAGAGAAAGTTCTATCCTTACTGGTCCTAAATCTGAATAACTATGTCTAAATTTTTAAACCTTAATTACATTATACCTATCAATATGTACTAGAAGAAAGAGGAGAAAAAAAGTCACTATACTAGTACCAGGACAGCACGCTTACAAGATAGCCACTTTATACATTATTAACAGACAGTGATCAACAAAGAGTCTCCTGTGAGGTGGTGGGGATGCAGAGAAAGGCAGGGTAGTACAGTACATCACCAACATGGACAAAACAGTAATTCAATTCCCTAGTCTAGACACTGAGTTTCTGGGAATTTACTGTCTCTTCTTGTTTTGTTTGTGTTTTGTTTTTTTCCTTAAATAAAATGTCTATTTTGTTATTTTATTACTTGAACAAGTTTGGATATTTTAAAAGCGCCCAGCTTTTGACTTTAACCTGGTTGTTTGGTAATCGAAAGAAAAACAAACCCCTCCCCCAAATCTCACCGAACAACCTAACATTTTATTGGAAAAACAAATAACATGATTATGTTTAAGTGTTGTTGTTGTTTAATTGGAATCAAAGAAGGCTCTTTTTTTCTTTCTTTCTGAGTGAGCATTTTGGAGCCTTTCGTTTGAAGATGCATTTGCCCTACCGTGTCTGTGAATGTCTACATTAGTCTACTTTGTTAGTAAAATTTATAAAAATAGGAGTGCAGCAGCTCTTTATAATAAATGTCGCGTTCAGTGTCTCATACTGGCTGTGCCTTAAGTACCAAATTTATAAACGTAACAATTTAAAAAATATTAATAAAACGGCAATATCACATTTTAAAAAAGAAAAAAATATATATCCACACTACAATATGTTTTAATGCCATCTATTGAGTTGTACTTCTATAGTTGCTGTTGCCGACCTATTACCAATATTAAAAAAAAGTTAAATTAAAAAATATCCTTCATCATAAGTATCTTTCCCCAACCGAGGACCATATATTATAACAGCCAAATGTTAACATGTGCAAACAGGAAACTGTCAGTTTTTCCCACCAGTCACAGTGCAGCGATGTTTATACTTTTTATTTTTAAAATTCTGTTTACATCTACAATAAATTAAAAAAAAAAATTCTTCCATAGCCTCTCTGGTGATACTTGCAGCACTGAGGTATTAAAAATAATATATAAACCGAAAGGTTGCTTTCCTAATTTGTAAATAGAAAGTGAATGGAGAAAAGGTTTCATTAATGCAGGCTTATACACTCCTGGCCTGGGGGCCCCAGAGCTGGGGGCGGGTGAGGGACGTTGGGGGGGGGTGAAGAGAAGAGAGGCCAAGTGTCCCAGGGCCCTTTAGAGGTGCTGAAATGATTGGACAATAGAAAATGATCAAATATTTAAAAATTAAGACTGAAAAAGGATGTCTCCCCACCCCTCCCTACCCAAGCCAAACAGATGTGCTTTGAAACTTTAAATATGTTAAATATTAAAATTGTAGCTTTGTTTTTAAAAAACGTCTTGGGAAAAGCGGTTTTTCATATTTTAAATAAAAATCTAACTAGACGGTTACATTTGAAGCTGTGCACAGACGAGAGGTTAATATGCTGGTATGACACTAATCGAGTCTATCACACAGACAAGAGGAGCTAAACAGTGTTCCAACTCTTCCCGGGGTCGTCCTGGCAGCTGGGTGTTCTTCAGCCTCAGCAACTGACTGGGTTCTGGTTCCATCCCCTCCTCCCGCCGCCGAGCATCGAGCTGCCTGGGACCGACTCCCTCACAAAAATATTTTTGATTCTCTCTTTCTTAATAGTTTCTATGTAGTTAATGGAATTGTATTTACAACATTTCTTTTTTTTTTAGAAGTCACAATTTCAAAAAACCTTATATCACCTCTTTTAACAGAAAAAAAGCACTTATAGAAAAGGAGGACACTCGAAACATGGTCATCCTTACCTTATTGCCGAAAATAGATATACTTAGGTTAACAAAGAGACATCACCAAAAAGAACTGCGCAGTCTGTGATTAGCCTACTGCATCTCACTCCTCGGACAGCGCAAGTGGAAAGCCAGTGCCCGCCCCCCTCCACACTTCGCGCCCGCGCTTCCCCCTGCGCGCTCAAGTTGCACCTGGAAATCCATACAGTCTCAGAATTGGTACCAAAATATTGAGAGTAATATTACCATCTCAGCATCCTTTAAAAGTGAGAACAGAATCCAAACAAGCAAAAAAAGTTTTTTTTTAAAGAAAAAAATACCTTAATATAACAATTATACTATGGTTAGCTTTTAACTAGATATTAAAGCTATATGACTACTGGACTAAGTCAAAATCACTACTAAATGTGATTCAAAGAGATTTCAAAGGAGAAGGGGCAAGAGAGAAGGGGAAGGGAAACCATCAAGAAAAACAAAAACAAAACAAAACCAAAATCATGGGTTATATACACATTGAAAAGCTGTTGTCTTATATTACAGCAGACTCGTGAGATGATGAGATGTGTCAACCCTCGATCCGAAGCGAGCCATCTCTGGTTGGGATGGGGAGTGAAGCTGGTGGGGGTCCAGGTCTGATGACATCACCTAAACAAAGGGCCACTCAGAAACTTCGCCCAGTCTTGCCTGGACATCCAGGTATGCTCTGCAGGGTACGGAAGGTCGGGGTGCCCGAAGAGAACATAAAAGTGGGGTTGGGGGGGGGAGAAAGAAGAAGTGTCAGGCAAGTATCCGGTTTATTCCAACTACATGCTTGAAACTGGCCTCGCTAACAGCGTGCTGGGGGCACAGCTCTGGGAAACCTGACACTAAGCCCCGAGGCTGGGGCAGGGCAGCGTGTGGACTGGCTTTGCTGGCTGGATGCAGGCTGTGGGCCCCGGAGGGGATGGCAGGAAGTGTGGCCCGCCCATGCGGTCCTGCTGGCTGTGGGCTGGACTGGTGAACTGCACTCGACCAGCAAGGCTTTCTCTGGTTAAGCTCTGCTCTCAAGGCCACCAAGTTTGAAAAACGCCTGCCTTTATCAACGACCCATCAATGACGGCCCAGAACGGAAAATGCAAATGCCCACTAAACAGACTCCTAGGGATCAAGGTCAGGACACGATGAAAACATCCACAATGAATAGCCAGCTTTGGTTACAGGAAATAAATAGAAACAGGCCCGGGAGTCATGGGCGTGATAGCTGAGGCTCCCTGAACGGATGGGCCTGGCCCCGTGGGAGATGGCACTGAGCATGCCTTTTGGTGCAGCCACATGGCTCAGTTGGCTCCCTTCATCCATTTTGGAGGTGCGGAGGGCGGGGGCGGGGGGCGGCAGGATGCTACCTCCATTCTCTTGGTTATTTCCTCCTTCTGTGGAACCTGAGTCCCAGAGTGGGATAGAGGATGGGCTGGGAGCAGCCTTGCCCCTCCCCCGCCCCTTGGAAAGGCTGGGGTGGCCTGGGAGGCGTGGCCAGAAGCCCTGCACCACCCTCCTTTACCAGGGACAGGAGGGCTGGCAGCCCCAGCCCCGGGCCTCCCAGGGATCTGCTGCACCTGATGGTTGTGTAATCCCTTGGTCATGTGACCACAGAGGGCTGGAGCCACCTCAATCCCCAGAGTTCCCGGATCTCTCGGTCTGCCTGGAGCTCAAAGGACCCTGCCTCCCTCTGGGGCCCCAACCTCAGCTTCGTTAGTGGTGCGTGGCTCTCCTTCACACTGTTAGTGGCCTCCGGCTCCACCATGGCTGGGTCAGTGCTCTAACGGCCGTGGAGGCGAGGGCTGCACACACGGGGTTTATTGGGTTAAGAGAGGTAGTTGAGTTAGTTGAGGTGATTCCTTAGCAGCGTTAGAGAAATCCAAGACCCCAGCCTCCCTCTCCTTCACGCCACCCCTTCCATGGCCCGTCAAAGTGATTTAAAAAATGTTTAATTAACTCGAGCTCAGTTTAAAAGGTTAGGAAACTGGCAGGGATCCAAGCCCACGTTACGCAGGTGATATCGTTAATTTAATTTGCTTTTCGAGCGGTAATCTGGATAATTACTCAGTAGTTACTGGAAAAAATGTTTTCTTTTCACTCAAAGGTGAAGTCTGGCTGTTTGACGGCAGGAAACCCCATTGTCTGAGGCCAGGAGCTCTGGGGAGCTGAAAGGTCCCCCCACGAGGTCAGCTCCCCGGGACCCTGGGGGAGGCCTGGCAGGAGCCCCGCGTGTCCCTGCCTCCACTCCCCTGGGACGGGCACAACATGTGATCGCCTTCCAGTTTCCCACACTCTTGATTGTATCTGAAGACAAAGAAAGATGAGGGGTGGGGAAGATGGAGAAAAGGAAGCAAAAGAACCAAACCGAGAAACAAAGACAGTCAAACAAAAAAGTGTGTGTGGGGCGTCATGATTAAAGCGGAAGAAAAGAACCGCAGCCAATCAGCCGTCAGAGACTAAGTCCCCGCCGGGCCATCTGGTCGACCCCCCGCTCTCGTACCCCCCCCCCCCGCCCCTTGGAAAGGCTGGGGTGGCCTGGGAGGCGTGGCCAGAAGCCCTGCACCACCCTCCTTTACCAGGGACAGGAGGGCTGGCAGCCCCAGCCCCGGGCCTCCCAGGGATCTGCTGCACCTGATGGTTGTGTAATCCCTTGGTCATGTGACCACAGAGGGCTGGAGCCACCTCAATCCCCAGAGTTCCCGGATCTCTCGGTCTGCCTGGAGCTCAAAGGACCCTGCCTCCCTCTGGGGCCCCAACCTCAGCTTCGTTAGTGGTGCGTGGCTCTCCTTCACACTGTTAGTGGCCTCCGGCTCCACCATGGCTGGGTCAGTGCTCTAACGGCCGTGGAGGCGAGGGCTGCACACACGGGGTTTATTGGGTTAAGAGAGGTAGTTGAGTTAGTTGAGGTGATTCCTTAGCAGCAACGTTAGAGAAATCCAAAAGAAATTTATGGAGCTCAACTCAGCCTGGCCCCCCTCTACGAGAGAGGAATCCTACGGACCACAAACCAGTGACAACCACCTCCAGCCTGGCTCCTCCTCCGTCCCGACTCCGGGAGTGACAGGCGCTCAGCCCGACTGGGGCTTTCTGAGTGGGACCCCCTTCCAGACTTCGCTTTCACCTCCCTCCTCCCGAGAGAAAGACCCACGTCCCTAGGCCCCAAACCAACGTGCTGCCGCAGGGCGCACTGGCTTCCTGAGAGCACCCCTCTGGCTTCCTGGTCTTCCCCCCAGAATGGCAGGTTCTCATTTTCAAATGAGAGCGTGACATGATGGCAGGAGCCCCGCGTGTCCCTGCCTCCACTCCCCTGGGACGGGCACAACATGTGATCGCCTTCCAGTTTCCCACACTCTTGATTGTATCTGAAGACAAAGAAAGATGAGGGGTGGGGAAGATGGAGAAAAGGAAGCAAAAGAACCAAACCGAGAAACAAAGACAGTCAAACAAAAAAAGTGTGTGTGGGGCGTCATGATTAAAGCGGAAGAAAAGAATGAAAGATTCAAAGATTGGATTATTTTTACCCCCACCCCTCCAAGAAAGGTCCAGAGAGAGGAGAGAGATGGATGTGATGAGACCGGGCCCGTGCGTACTGCATGCCCAGGGCGCACGCGGTACGGACACGCCCGGCAGGGCGGAGACGTATGGCAGAGAAGTAATACCTCAGAGTGAGATGGCAACGAAAGCACCTGCTCAATGGTATCCATTTGTAAAGGCCGTTGCAATCAAAGGTCCCTAAAATTGCACAATTGTTAAGGTCATCAGCACGCTATACATGGGAACAGATTGTCATATTCTGGGAAAGGAAATGATGTCTGGGACTAGACTGTGGTTGCCAGCATGAATATGTAATTCTGAGACACCGTGCCATGAGGGCCAGGATCCCACCCCGCCGGCCCCGCCCCCGCCCCACGCCTGTCTGTGTGCCCAGGGAAAAATCGAGAGCCAGATTCAGAGGGGCGGGTGGTGATGGGAAACGGGGGGGTCACGCCCCAAATGAGAGGCGTTGTGGCCCTGAACCCCTGGGAGGACAAAGATAACAGTGTCTCTGGACTCCCGACGGCTCCAGCTGGGGAGAAAGCAAATCCTGTGCAGACCAAAGGCGATGCAATGTGGTTATTTCTGAAAACCAGCACAGCACACAGGTCAGAGAGAGCCTGGTGTTCAAGAACAAACAGGGCCCGTGTTTCTGGGTGCTGAGAATGGGAATGAGCTGTGTTCTACCTGGTGAGAGTCTCCCACATTGATGCAGCTCTCAGCTGAACAACAGTACTTTGGATTGGGTCCTACAGCTCATCTGAGGGGTTCTGACGCATCCATCAACTGACTTAAGTGATACTGGCTTGGGAGTGGACTTGAACAAGGACCCAGGCCACAGAGGCCAGGGCTGATGGGAAACGGTGTGTGTGTGTGTGTGTGTGTGTGTGTGCGCGTGTGTGTGTTTGCAATCGGGGGGCAGGAACTCAGAGGCCCTGGTGCCCCAGACTGTCTGCACTTGCTCTGTTCTCCCCAGCGCAGCCCGTGAGGCAGGGCTCTCACGACAAGGACAGGAGCTGGGACAGCAGACACTCCCATCTTAGCTCCAAGCCAAACGGCCTCCCAGAGGCCGAGGTTGGCCAGGGTAGAGGTTGGCTGATTTCGTTTTCCAAATGGAAGGGACAGGAGTGAGTGGGCTCAGGCACATTCATGCTCACACACACCGGGAGGGAAAGAACAATACAATCTGAAAATAGCATGCAAATCTGTTAAGCAAATTTCTATGGCCTGGATTAGTCAGATTATAGAACCACAGAGCAATACAAATATCAATGCATTGGGCCTCGGGGGGGAGGGCACAGCTAAAGAACACAAGTGGGAACTTACTTGGAACCTGGAAACTGTAAGAAACATTAGCAAAGGAAACCTTCTGGGGAGGGGCCTGCACCACACGCACCTACGCTGGACCTGGGGCCTGGGGAGGGACTCTACCCACTGAGGCTGCTACCTTCCAGTGGGGGCTCCACAGCTCCGAGGTCCCAGCCCACGTGACAGTCTCCAGCAGGCAGAGATCACGGACCAGGGGCCGATACTGAGAACTATGTGCCACCAGGTGACATACCCTACTCCCGTGGTCGGCAAACTGCGGCTCTCGAGCCACATGCGGCTCTTTGGCCCCTTGAGTGTGGCTCTTCCTAAGCCTTAGGAGTAACCTAGTTAAGTTAATAACAATGTACCTGCCTATATAGTTTAAGTTTAAAAAATTTGGCTCTCAAAAGAAGTTTCAATCGTGTACTGTTGATATTTGGCTCTGTTGACTAATGAGTTTGCCGACCACTGCCCTAGTCCCATGAATTCTCAGTCCTCCCAGAGAGACACACTTATTTTTGTTTTGCAGCCAGGGCAGTGGCGGGTCATTTAAGTGGCTCAAGGTTGCATGGGCTGAAGGTGATGGAGTGGTGCCCTGAACCTGCCCTGCCCACGCTCCTTCCACTCCATCATGGGGCGCGGCCCAGAGGTGCCCCGGTAACATCTGAATGGAGGAGCTTCAGCCCTAGGTGGCTGAAACGAGGTGGATGGGGACCCACCACCCTCTCCTTGGCTTCCAATTCTGGGCTTTCCCGGCACACCCTCCCCCATGAGCCACAGAAGATGGGCAAGAAGGAGACAGGAAGGCAGGGGAAGGAAGGTACTTACAGCTATGCCGTGGCCGAAGCCAGAGCCCGGCTGTGGGCTGGCCGCACTTATGTAATTCCCCACTCCGGAGTCCTGGCTGGCAGGGCCGTAGAGATCGGCGACAGGTCCTGGGCTGTTGGCCCCCGGGAAGCCTCCGGGCCGCGCCGGGTTGGAGCCTGCCGGGGAAGCGGGCGCGCCAAAATTCGGTTGAGCACTGTAGCTATTCAGGACTGGTGTGCAGAGAATAGAGCTGGGTATGAGGCCAGAAGCCAGGCATGCACCGGTCATTACAAGCCAAACACTCGAGAAAAACAGCTGAGGCCCAACTTCTAACACTCAACCAAGGCCATGCGAAAACATCAGCAGGGACTCAAGAATACTCAGCCCAGGCTACTACTAAGAAGCTCGGAGCTCCAAAAATATAGAGAATAAAAAAACAATCATTCAACACACTACGGCAATCCACCGGAGGGTGCTCCACTGCCCACCAAGTTATCACAATAGAAATAGAGATATATATGGAAGAGAGAGAGAGAGGTTTTTGTTCACGTCTGATTTGATGCTCATGCAGTCTTGTCTAGGTCTGGGCACGTTGAGACAGCATTCACATCCCATGCAAACTACAAAGGAACTAGTTTTAGACTACACATTGTGTTAATATTGATATTAAAACGTGACAGGAACAAAGCAATTTGTGTCTAGGAAAAAAAAAATCTTCGGGGAGGGGGTTTTGATTTTTGTTTTTGTTTCGCATTTTCTTTTTTTGTTTGTTTTTGGATCCATTAAATCACAATTTGTGTTTTTTGTTTTTTGTTTTTTAAAAAAAAGACAAAAAAGATCTCCATTCTCCATCCCCGCACCCAACCACTTCCCCCCTCCCCACTGGCTACTCCCTCCCCACCCACCCCTCCCATTGATAATCCCTGCATGAAAGTCGTCCATACTGAACGTGGTCAGAGGATGGGATATGTCATGGAAAGTTGGGGCATCTCAACAGAACCGGAATGATGGTGGCAGAGGGCTCCCTTCTGGGGTGGAGAGCAGGGGATGGAGGGAGGGGATGGGGTGGGGATGGCAAATCTGGAGGCTGGGGCTGAAGTCGGGTGAATGCCAATGGTGGTCTACAGGACACCCACACACTCACCTCCTGCAGTAGAAGGAAAGGGGGGATTTAAAGTTTTTTTCCTTTTGTTTAAAAAAAAAAAAGGCAGAAATATGAATGCAGAGCATCCTGACTGAACCAGTTTACAGCTAAAGCATATCTGACTGAAATGCCTGCTTCCTGTTAGTTCTCTTCAGATAGAAACTCCAGACTGACAACAAGAGCTAGGAATGTACCTTTGTGACAGCAAGTGGGGACTTCGAGCCCCCCATCCCCAGAGTGGTGGGTGATGGGGAGCAGGAGGAGACACAGCCTGGGGCCCCCCACCCTTAACCTCCCCAAATTCCGTCATTCCCTCCCCAGTGAGAGCCACGGCCGTCAACCAGGTTAATTTTGTCTCATCTTCATGTCCCCTTCGCAGCTTAAACATTTTCTTTTCCAGAATGGGGAACATTTTTTCTTTTAATTGCAAAAGTTAAGTTCTCATAGATTTTAAAGCTCAAGGTGACCCGGGCTGGCGACTTCCGGGTGACAGCTAACCTGTCTCCAAGAACCAGACTATCTGGGCTCCGTGCATTTCCACGGCTTCAAGGGGCCCCTCCTCCACATCTTCTCCCTCCTGCCCCCTCAGCATTCCCCTCTCTGCCCGGTGGCCAGCTGCCCTCAATGGCAGAAGGAAAGGACATGTGCACCCCCTCTTGGTCATGGCCTTGCCCAGGGGCCTGTGGCTGCAGTCCCCGCTTCTGGTGGGGCTGGAAAAGCCAGGAGTGGATGGATTTTTACCAACCTGTCACCGGGGATGGGAAGAGACTGGCTGACCTAGCACCCAAGCTAGACCGGGAGGAGACTGGGAACAAGAAGATTCAAAAGAGAGCAAACCAAGCTGCTTGGCTCCTGACTCAGCAGAGAAAAGGGAAGCTGCTACCTGGGATGCCCTCTGGGCAGGAGGCCCCAACGTGAGGCCCCTTGGAAGCTGCAGCCGAGAAATGAATGAACTGGCTGATGAAAAGAACAGGTTAAAGAGACAGAAAAAAAAATCACAGAGGCTTAGAGCAAATAAGTGGCTGATTTGGGAATGCTCTGGCAGACAAAAGGGACGGGGCTTCTGAATACAGAAGATTAAGCTTGCAGATAACATTTGTCCCTTCTCACTCAGGGAGGCGAGTATCAAGCCGAGATGTTCAAAAGGCAGAATTATCTTGGTCGAACACACTTTTTCTCCTCTGGGCTAGGGAAGGTGGAGAGCGCGCAGACCGTGGACTCCTGGGTCACCCAGGCAGCTGACCCCTGTCCTATGCCAAGTAACTAACAAGTGGCTAGCCTGTTCTGTTTTAGGGGTGGGGGGGCCAAGTGGAAGATGGATAGATTTTTTTTTTTTGGCAGATGAGGATCTAGGAAGACAGTGGGCAGGCTGGGCTGGGAGAAGGGAGCGTGCGGTCTCGGCTCCCTCCAGCAGGGGGAGAACTACCCAGAGACGGATCCACCGGCAGAGGCAGCCTCGGGGACAGGATGCAGCGCGCCCACACAAGGATGCTGTCCAGAAACGCCCCCTCCACTGGCTCAGAGACAAGAGGGCTGCAGGTCTTCTCCCCATCCCTGGCTGCCTCCCCCGCTCCTGTGTGCCCAGGCCTGCAGCTTAAGAGTTGGCCTGAAGGAAATGTGGCCATAAGCAGCTCTCCTAGGCCCGTATAACCCCTCCCCTGCTCAGCCATCTCCCATCAGGTGGCACTAAAGGCACTGTATAGAACGCAGCTTTGAAACCCCAAGCCCCCTACTGTCACATACACTTGCTGCTCACAATGCCCTAGGCCCATCTCAAAGCCACCTTGCAGGTGTCCCCCAGCCAGGGGCGACGACTGGGCATAGTCGCAGGCAAGAAGCAGCCAGTTCTGGGCGGGTCTCCTCTCTCCAGGCTTCTGGGCAGTGGGACCTGACCCATCAATGGATGGGGGCATGGAGGAGACGTGCGCATGTTCCAGCCAACAATTCCCTCCCTCCCTCCCTCCGTGTGTTAAAGTCCCCAAACAAGCCCTCCGGAGTCCCAGGCATCCTGGGAAAGGGCTCTGGCTGTTGGGGGAGAGGGGGGACTGCCACTTCGCAAGCAAACTTCTCAGCAGCTGTTGTTTCTGTGTGCAGGTGGGAAGGCCTTAGGGGCAAAGTGGTTTCCTTCTCTGGGGAAGTTCCTACTGAACGCTGGCTGGCTCCACAGGAAAGGGGGTTACCTGAGGACCCCTCTCCCTCCAAGCTATGACCTCGAGAGGAGAGGCAGGGGGAGAAAGCACGAGGCCGAGGTCCTGACCTGGGTGTGTTTTCTGTGAAGGCACCTCAGCTTTCTGTCTTGGTGGAGGGCACCGCTCCCCAGTCACCAAGACTCATTTTGAGGGGCCAGAAATGGTCCCACACGCTAGAGTCGAGTCAGGAAAAGGGGGTGGCACGTCTTTCTTAACAGGCAAGGGCACCTTGCTACTGGCTTGGTGGAGTATGCGTGTGCGTGTGCGTGTGCGTGTAGGGTCTCCGTACATGTTGCTGAATAATAGCGCTGAGATTCAGATATGGGACATTATGATTCCCGTCTCAGAAGAGGGCAATGTCTTGCACACACCCTGGCATTTCTGTAGAAAAGGTGTGATATTAAGGGCTCGGGCCAAGCCCTGCCCCGGCGGGGCTGGTAGTTTGGGGGCTCACTGTGGGGAAGAAGGGCTGTTGCTCCATCGGCTGCTCTGGCAGCACCCGCAGTAGTGGTTTAATCCTGGGCAGCTCCTCTTCACCCCTCACCCCTGTGCACCAGCACCTCCTGTGCTTTATTTGTCCAGCTGGTATGCGCAGGGATGCAGCTGTGACGTAGGGGAGCGGGCACTGGACTTGGAGTCAGAAGACCTGAGTGTGGCCCTGGCCCTGACCTTGGGGTCAGACCCTCACCGGCCAGCGTCCTGGTCTGTGAGTACCGCCCGCCTTCGTCAGCCTGACTCTCGGCGGGAAAAACAGAAAGCGCTCTGTAACTTGTCAGGTTTAAAGCAAATACACCTATTTTTGAAATAATGGTATATGCAGAGCCCAACAAAACAGGTACTATGTGCAGATTTGGGAAAATCTGATATAGGAAAATACAATTCACTTGCCATACAAAGCAGGCGGTGATTTACAAAAGGATCCGATTCGTCCACCTGGTGCATGTAATCATCTCGGACCTGCAGAAAGACTCGGGGGATGGCGGGCAGGAAGGCAAGGACACCAAATCCCACCGAGGCCAGCAAGAGGGAATACGTTTGAATTAAAGTTGGGGGCATTTTGCATTGAATAACAGAAGGAACTCTGGCCCGGGCAGGAAAAAAGAACACTCTGACCCAGGAAAGCCAGGGAATCTTACTCCTGAGGCCTTGACAAGGGGCTATCCTGCAGGCTTAGACCCTCAGCTGGACCTCACTTACTAGCAGATCAAAGCTGGGGCACCTCTGTCCTCGGGGTTTGGAGGCAAGCCCGGGGGATGACTGCCTTCCGTCTGGCACATAGTCTGCCCACGTGGGCTCTGAAGGGGCTGCGCCGAGAGTGGAATTAGTCATGGGGGTAAGGGCGGTCCTGGGAGAGGGCAGTGAGTCCAGACAGCCTGGCTGTAGGTCTAGGAAAGGTAGGGGAGTCCAGCTATTTCTGTATGGCCCCTAATGAATGCCCCTGGGCCTGAGGCAGAAAGCTAGCGCTCAGGCTGCGAGGGGCACCCCTGGGAGGGCACTTCTGCTCTAAGCCCTGAAAAGGGGGTGATTACTGACCCAGAGAAAGGAAATGCTTACAATGACCCCAGCCCACATACCTGAGACAAGCCAGGGCCCTGCCAGGTCCCAGCCTTGGACCCAGGTCCTGGTTTGGTGGGTCTCACATTTCCCCAAAGGGCAGGGCCAGCCCTCAAGACAACGTCAGTCATTTGCTTTGTGACTTATCTGCTGCTGCCAGGCTTAATCTCGGGGAAGGCGGCCCTGGCGGCCCCTGCGCATGTCTGGGACCGAGTGTGTGCTGCTCAGAGCGGGGCAAATGCAACGGCGGCCCGTCCTTCCCGGTCCAGTTCAGAAGGTGATGTACTGACCCATTCCCTACCTCAGCCCCCAACACAATGAGGACTGGGAATGTAAGCTCGTG